TCTCTCTCTCTGCTCTCTCTCTCTCTCTATCTCCCCCTCTCACCTCCACCCTCTCTTCCCTGTCTCTACTCTCCCTACCTCTCCTCCAACATTCTCCCTCTTCTCGTCTCTCTCTCTCTCTCTCTCTCTCTCTCTTATTCTCCTGGAAAATGTAATACTCAGACCGAAGTGAATTCATAGTCATCGTTCTCGTAGCATGAAAATACGAAAGTAACGCATGAAAACTCCATGGAAAACACAACCCCGATTTCATTTCAGACTGAAAATTGCATGGGGTCGATATAGATGTCAATATTTCTGAAAGGGTGGCAATTGGGCCAACCCGATTGACCTATGACTCTCACATACTCACATATAATATATTATTATATACATAATAATAAATGTAATTAGTGGACCTCAAAGAAAAAAAGTCTAGCAGATCCATTTCCGATATAAAATTACATAATCCACACACACAAAAAAAAATAAAGCAGGATATATAAAGACAATTCTCCAAACATTTGTCCTCTGCTCTATAAGCTTAATAAATTTGTTATCACATACGATGACAAGAACGATAAAGATAATATACTTATAGTCATCATATATAATTGACATAATGTATATGGTTTTACTACACGTACAATAAACCACAGCTACATACACAGTAAAGATATTAACATGGTAAGATATAGTAGCAATAAAATGCTCTTTGTTAATATATTAACTGTGTTTGGTGGTCGTGGTGAACTTGTACCTTTGGGCATGATTAATGCTTATAGCATTAGTTGTGATAACATGATATCAGTTAAGGAATTGTCAAGTTGTTAAGTTCTTCCTGGTGATCCTTGGCACCAGGAGGTGTTGTTGACCCGAGATGTCAGGTGGTGTTGTTGACCTCTGATTGGTGACCCCAGGCCACCAGGGTTTGTTGTTGACCCCTGTTCAGTGACCCCTGACGTCTGGTGTTGGTGTTGACCCCTGTCTGGTGACCCCGACGTCAGGCGACGTTGATGACCCCCTCTTAGTAACCCCCGACATCAGGTGATCCGACAGAGGTTAACAACCTGAGGGTGTGAGTGAGTCAGCAGGTGTGAGTGAGGCCAACCTGTATGTGTTGTGTTGGCAGTGTGTGTGTGTGTGTGTGTGTGTGTGTGTGTGTGTAGACTATGTTGAGGACTAAAGTATACTTACTTAATTGGCAAAGCCCAGTCGGGTCTAAAACAATATGATGTCACACATATTGACATCATATATATATATATATATATATATATATATATATATATATATATATATATATATATATATATATATATATATATATATATATATATATATATATATATATATATATATATATCATCGCTGTAAACATCTATACTACAACCAACCTTCGACAATGTAATTATGTACACTACACAGTGCCATCTTCATCATTGTAATAATCTTCAGTATCTATTATCTTCGCCACATGTCAACCATTTTCACTACCCAGGTAATGGTAGGTAGGTGCTTCATCTACTACCATCATCATCATCGCTACCTTCTCTCTCCCTCATTATCTTCCCCACTTCTTCACCACTTTCAACACTATCACTCTCCTTCGGCACTTTTCCTACCCCTTCTCCAACTTCTGTACACTTCACTACTTTCTCCCCCTCACCACATTTCCATCAACTCACTACTGCTCATTATCTTCCCTACCCATCACCACCCTCTCTACCACTCTCCATCTTTCTAACCTTTCACCAGCTTCCCTACCCTACAACCACCTTCCTTACCATTCACTAGCTTCCCTACTCTACCATTCACCATGTTCTCTTCCCTACACCCACCTTCCCTACCATTCAACAGCTTCCCTACCTACCATTCAACAGCTTCCCTACCCTACAACCACCTTCCTTACCATTCACTAGCTTCTCTGCTCTTCATCCCTGTAACCATTTTCATTAAACACTGACATCAAAGAAAAACTACATAATAGAAACTGACAATAAATCATCCTGTAGAAAATAGTATGCTAGATGAATCCTAGTGAGGAACGAGTCTTGTATTTAGCAAGATTTGGAAATTACATGCAAATAGGGGGCGCGGGGGGTTATGGAGATAATAATAATATAAATAATGGATGGTCATAAGCTATTCGCCTATGATAGTCTTCGGACAAAGACCAGTCACTCTGTAAACCTGTATATCATCCATGAGGTATGTTGTCCGGCCCGACGTCTTTTGGAAGAATTCTGAGGCGCGTAGCCAAGCTGCTGACGCCATCTAGGGGTCAAAAATAACACTATAAACAGGTCAACAGCAGCCCATAAGGCAGGTTGTTGGGCTGAAGGTTGCTTCCCGCACTCGCTTTTCATTGGTAGAAACTTTGTGTTGACATTCACCTCAACAGCCAATCACAGGAAGGGATCGGGTTGAAGCTCCGCCTTCTTAGTTACAGTTTTGAGAAAATACCTTTCTTAAATCTTGGTTGAAACTTTAAATATATCTTGGTTGAAACTATAAGGCATAAGGCCTAATAGTTTCAACCAAGATATATTTAAAGAAAAAGATACATTTTTTGTATAAAAATTCTTATAACAAATTATGATACATGTGTAATAATGAATATAACAGTTCCCATAAGTGAATTGCCGGGCTGCCTATCCTGTGATGTTATCACTGCATTGGTGTTACCTGACAAGTACTTCCATCTAGTGGCAGAATTGAACACTAAGTAATGAGTGGGCGGGGCATCGCTTCATACAATACAACATTCTTTTGTAACAACTGTTAAGTCCTATAATATTATATTAATGCTAACAAAATATCATAATTTTAAACATAACTGTGAAGAGAAATCAGAGATAAAACAGTACGACATAAATAAGCAGGAACAAATTGTTAATGTTTCAGATAATATAATTAATTGGTCGCAGCTATCAGCTGATTCTTTCCTGTGATTGGCTGCCGAGGTAAGTGACGACATAGAGTTTCTACCAATGAAATGCGAGCGCGGGAATGCGACCTGTAACACAATAATTCGCCTTATGAGCTGCTGTTGGCTTGGTGATAGTGTTATTTTTTGCACCTAGATGGCAGCAGAAGTCTCGCTCGCTTCATCATTCTTCTAAAATATGGTGACTGGGCTTCAGAACAAACAGGTATGGTGCAATGCTTCGCCCTCTGATAGTGGAGTCTATTGGATTCTGTTTTAAGTATACACAGAAATATATCTTCATCGATGTATATGCATCAGTCCATTTATACTCACACCTAATTTAGGTTCAATGTTTTGCATTGAACATTGACACCTAATTTAGAACATTGAACCTAATTTAGGTTCAATGTTTTGCACCTTTGGTGAAATGTTTAAAATTAATCTTTTAAATATATCTTTTTAAGCCCTTTTGGCCGCCCACTGCTAGGTTAATATGGCGGGCTTCTGAAACCACTTTTCAGGAAGGCACTCCACCTAAACTTTGATGACAGTCAGGGGGAAGAAGTAACTCTACCAGTTAGACTTTTGACAGTAGGCAGATACAATGCAACAGAGGTAGCACTACCAGTATTTTTATTTACGTGCATTGCTGCCAGCGAATTAGTAGAGAAGATCCTATCTGATTTCATGAGAGATTCCGAAGCTCACGATCCGAAGTTCATCTAAGGAGCCAACCATTGGAACACTAACGCACACGCCTCACCGCGGCCACAAGCCCCAAAAGAACCCCAAATCTCACTTGGAAAGTCCCATAATGGAGAAAGATTGCCTCAACAATGCTCGAAAGTTCACCTGTTGAGAATAAAACCCGCCTCCTAGCAGTGAAAGCCCCTCTTTTCTAGGATTTTTAATTTCCTATACTCATCTCAGCCGTAGGAACTCACCTTAACCGCGACGCTCTTTATATTGGTCTAGCCCTTTGCCTTGCTGTCCCCCTCCTCACCGAACACAGGTGCATCTGTAAACGTGCATTGGCAGACTAATAACCCATCACATTGATATGTCATAAATCACACGACAAGATTGCAAGGCACAAATAAGTCAACGACATCATCAAGACAAAACGGCACTCAGAAGCGTCAAGATGGGGTCACCATGCGTCCCTAGAAGGATAGCAGGCTAGTGGCCCTGATACTACCTACTACTGTAGGTAGTACCTACAGAAGATAAGTACTACCTATGCCTCACATAGGCTAGTACCTACCTTCAACACAGGACAATGGAAGAGGTGGCGCTGTTTCTTCTATGAAACGCAGAAAGCCATCAAATACAGAGGTCTGACACATTGCTATAGTTTTGTTCTGATTTGCTTGGAAACCCTTTGTTTGTGCGGCAAATGTGCACTAGAGTTCCTGAAAGTACTGGGCCCACAGACTAATTAGGGTTACTAAAGACCAAAGAACGACAAGTTTCTTGTTGCATCTTCTCAGTGTCGCAGTTCAGAGGGCAGTGCTGTATCTTGGGCACGTGTCCATCCCAGGAAGAGCTCGAGAAGGTGTTAGATTTGTAATAGCTGTCAAGTTAGTTTGTGATATCCATTAATAGCTGTGAAGTTAGTTTGTGATATCCATTAATAGCTGTCAAGTTAATTTGTAATATCCATTAATAGCTGTCAAGTTAGTTTGTGATATTCATTAAAAGCTGTCAAGTTAGTTTGTGATATCCATTAATAGCTGTCAAGTTAGTTTGAGATATCCATTAATAGCTGTGAAGTTAGTTTGTGATATCCATTAATAGCTGTCAAGTTAATTTGTAATATCCATTAATAGCTGTCAAGTTAGTTTGTGATATCCATTAATAGCTGTCAAGTTAGTTTGTGATATCCATTAATAGCTGTCAAGTTAGTTTGTGATATCCATTAATAGCTGTGAAGTTAGTTTGTGATATCCATTAATAGCTGTCAAGTTTGTTTGTGATATCCATTAATAACTGTCAAGTAAGTTTGTGATATCCATTAATAGCTGTCAAGTAAGTTTGTGATATCCAATAATAGCTGTTAAGTTAGTTTGTGATATCCATTAACTATTCATTTTATTTTTTTATTTTTTTATTTTACTTGTAATGGTAATAATGTTTGTATATTAGTGCTACACAATCCGCCAGTCCGAAATGCAAAATTAACCTCCCTCAAATAATTTGATATACAATAAAAGCACCATTTTTCAATTAATCAGTATCTCATATATTTAGTTAATGAAGTGGAAAATGTAGATACAAAATGATGTATTTAAGTTCAATTAATATCTAAAAGTTCCTAGACTTACACGTTCTTATGAACCTAGAACACCAACCCAGGAAACACAACCTAACCACAAATTTTGTAAAAGATTATAAAGTTATAGAAAAGTTGTGATAGTTCAAATAACGTTGTGGTTAAGTTGTGTGTTTGCCAGGTTAACAGATGTTTACTGTATAGTGGGATCAGGCGGGATTGTAAAGCCGGAGACGCCAGGTGGACCTGGAGGGCCTTGAGGACCTGGAAGCCCTTGGGAACCTTGAGGCCCTCGGAGACCTGGAGGGCCTTGGGGACCTGGAAGCCCTTGGGAACCTTGAGGTCCTCGGAGACCTGGAAGGCCTTCGGGACCCTGGGGACCTTCAGGACCACGAGGGCCTATTCTGCCTTCTCTCCCTGGCAACCCATTGCGACCTGCACTGCCCTTGGGACCCTCTTTGCCAGGGTCGCCTTTTAGACCAATTGGTCCGGATCGACCCGGAGCTCCTTTAGGTCCAACGAGACCTCGAGGGCCGGCTGGTCCTGGTTTTCCTGGTAGACCTGAGAGACCCAGTTGGCCAGGTAGCCCAGGCGGCCCGGGTGGCCCGGGTGGCCCGGGTGGCCCAGGAACGCATACCGGGTAGTGGTGATTCTGTCGAAGAAAAAGTAAGTAATTATCAAAAGAAAGGCACCAGACCGGGAAGGCTATGTAGCACCTTCTGTTGAAGAAGAAAAGGGAGTCAAAAAATAAATTATATCTTTTGAAATAAATAAATTAACAAATAGTAACTTTTAAAGTAAAGAAATTTATAAATAATAACTTTTACAATAAATAAATAAATAAATAAATACATATTTTCTTATTCGATAGTGTAACGTGGACCCATTCATTTATTACTGTTATTAATGCGAAAGTCAATATCTTCATTATTCGTTGAAAGTAGTTATTTTTTAACAGTATTTGCATAACAGTGTTTACAAGATCAAACTTTAGCTCCTGGCCCCCCCCCCCTTTTTTTTACCTGCTATCGAAACTGTCTCGCTGGTTACACTAACTGGCCTTACACTGAAGAATTATTTCCTTACATCTCTGAGTCTTATCTCAGTGTCTAAGTCATCTTAAAAAATCATCGATACACCTGAGTATTTAGTATGTTTGGATCATATCCCGTCTGTTTATCTTTAAGTTCTGTGTTGTTAGGTTTAGTTTCTTTATCTTCGCAGTAAAAAGCTCTGTACTTTCTCAATTTAAAAAAAAAAATTCGAGGTGGGACTCCAGACTGGTGCTGCTTACTCCAGCATGGGTTAGACAGATGTTGTATATAGTGTTATGAACGCGTTCTTATATTAATGTCTCTATGTTGTAAATTAGTTATCTAAACATCTGCCGCTGATGTGATTCTATTCATGTGTTTCACGCCCCTTGTTACTAGAGTCAGCAACATCACCCCCCCCTCGTCACAAGCAACAAGACTTCAGATGTTATTCATCAACTTTACTTTACCCCTTGAGGTTATCTTGAGGTTATCTTGAGGTTATCTTGATGTTATCTTGAGATGATTTAGGGGCTTTTAGTGTCCCCGCGGCCCGGTCCAGGACCAGGCCTCCACCCCCAGGAAGCAGCCCGTGACAGCTGACTAACTCCCAGGTACCTATTTACTGCTAGGTAACAGAGGCATTTGTTTCTGCCTCGTGCGGGAATCGAACCCGCGCCACAGAATTACGAGTCCTGCGCGCTATCTACCAGGCTACGAGGCCCCCTTGTTAAGATTTCTTTCTTACGTTTAGTCTCCATAATATTGAATGACCATCATGCACTTGAACCGACGACTCGCTATGTATTTGTTGAATATATGGCCTGCGTAGGGTCATACATGGCTTGTGTAGAGGTCATACATGGCCTGTGTAGGGATCATACATGGCCTGTGTAGGGGGTCATACATGGCCTATACATTGCATTACTGCTTCAAGATTTTCTCCCCATACATGTGTCAATATGCATATCTCATATGTATATAATTACGTAGTCGGGGACAGGAAGTCCCCGACAACGTGATTATGTGTAGTGTGTATTATTTGTGTATTGCTATGGTGCTGTGTTGTATGTGTAGTGTGTATTGTATGATAACATACAAGGATTATCTGTTATCACCATTACGGTGCGTAAGGTTCGCCCATCAGTCAACAACTAATCCAGATATGATAAAATAACTAGTTAATATGATTAACATGGCAAAAAATGAATATATTTTGATGAATAATAAAAAAATTAAATATAATTGATTTTACCGCATTAATTAACTAAATTAAATTAATAATCAAATAGATTCACTGTTCATTAATAAATAACAAATCAAATCCATATATTACTAAGTATTTATAATCTTTTCGGTATAAGAGTGCTGTACTGTGATCCAGTTACTCGTTTTAAACAAGGCAATTGAGGATTTAATGGCAGAGAATGTGATGCCTTATAACTACCTCTTGAGCTGGTCGTAGAGCAAACGATTTTCTAGATTGGCCACTACGTAAAAAATGCAACTGTTTAGCCTGACCAGAAATGCACGAACTCAGCAATCTACCTAAGCTGTTGAGACCGATGCATTGCAAACGTAAATATTACGGGGGTTTTATATTTTTTTATAATACGTCACATTTATAACAGATTAGACGTTTCCCTACACAATATGGCTATAAGCATATCATGGAACACTGACGACAGTCCTGTGTCAGTGTGATAATCTGGCAGCCGTCGCCAAGGTCCAGCAGCGTCATACTGCCTCAGTGTTGTGAACTGGTCACAACAAGGCCATATTGAGTCAGTGTTGTTAACAGGTTATTGGATTTGTCCGAAATTCCAACAGGTCTGATGTCCCTCTATCGAATCAGGACCAGTTTATTCACCAGGCCAGTCACTATTCCTTCGCAAAAGATCAGTATATGCACCAGGTCCATATATGCACCAGGTCCATATATGCACCAGGTCCATATATGCACCAGGTCCATATATGCACCAGGTCCATATATGCACCAGGTCGAGTTACACACCTGCTCAGTATATATTCACCAGAACAATATACGCATCAGGTCAGTATTTGCACTAAATCAATATACACATCAGGCCAATATACGTACCAGGTCAACATACATATCAGATCAGCATTCGTACCAGGTCAGTAAATGCACCAGGTCAGTATACGCACCAGGTCAATATATGCACCAAGTCAGTATACGCACCAGGGCAGACATTACACCACACCTCAAGGAGAGTGCTTCCATGACAACCAGAAACAAAGCCTCACACCTACCTGGAACCAGAACCCTGAAAATGAAGGAATAACATTAATATATAACTGTGTGCAGCCTGCGCACTGACCAAGCCAAGATTAAATTATTATAACAACAATAAAATGCCTAAAATTAGCTCTGATATACTTAAACATTGGCAGAAAAACCAGGTTTTCAAGAATGTACATTTGTCATACAGATTTAAGCAAAAAAGCGCAAAAACAAAGATTTAGCTTAATTTTAATGACGGATGATGTAGTCGATATCGACTTTTCTTTTAATTTATTAATAGTTTGGAAACTGCAGGATGTTGCAATTGAAATTGTTTATATATATTTTTTTTTCTTCAGTGTAGATATTGGGGAAGAATTCGCCTCTATGATCGACAACCTCAGAGTGAAGAGGAGAGAGGAGCTCTTGTCCCTCAGGTCGACAACTCCAAGGATAAATCCAACAGAGGCATAAAACATTACATTTTCCATACTTCCGACAAATTCCTTCCCAACCCTTCACAAAAATTCTAACCACCCCTGCAAATGCCTCAGCTAGTAGCCTCACATCGCCCAAATCCCTATGTTACTCTTTTAGACCCAAATCATTATATTTCCCATCCTATAACGTCCCCCCTCCCCCAGCATTGTGATCTTCTCCCCTCCCCCTCAATGTTGTAATCCTCACTTCATCCCTCAATTCATCCTACACTCATCCCCCCAAAGTCAACCAACGCTCTAAATCTCTTGCAGACCCCATCAACTCTTTTCTTCATATGTAGATCCTACCCAAATACTCTCTAACACAGAGGCTTTCCAGGGAAGCAATGGACAAGGAAGTGAGAATTCATTAAAGAAAGGGAAACTTTAAGTAATGTACACAAAAACATATGCGATTGCTTACAGGGAAAAATGTATTCAGAGAAAAGACATGACCTTCCCGACCTGAAAGAAAACCCTGATGTAATTGCGCTCATAGAAACAAAACTGTCTGAAGTTAGAACAAACATAATGTTTCATCAGTTAAAAAGATGAGAAATAGACAGGAAGGCAGGGGATTGACACTCATGATCAGAGCATTGTAAATTCGAGATCATAATAAACATAAAACATGAAAAAATACTATTCATGTGTGAGTATAATTAATATCAAAATATTCCCATTTCAGTAAGATGTTATCCAATACTCTGATATATTAATCATTTTGTTTAATAATCTGTACTTTACCTTGTGTGGCGTGGGTGACGAAGAGAACTATCAGCACAGCAGTCAGGAGCTGGGTGTGGAGACTCATCTGAAGAACGCGATCCCTACCAATACCCACAGAGCAAATTCTGGGGCACCAACCCATAAAATGCAATTTCAACCGCAACTGGAACGTTAACCAAAGCAGGAACGCCAAATATAGTCAGTACCAGCATAGACGAACCTCTCCCGCCAGTTGTTCACAACACACTACTTGTTATCTCTTCCGTTATAACTCAAGTGACATGTTTATCTTCGATAACAAAACACTTACGAATAGCAATCTTCGTCAGAAAAATCTGAACTTTTGTCACCTGGCCAGTAAGATAATACCAGGTGTGGGGTAAATGGGTTAGAGGTTCAAATTTCCGATCATTTACAAATCAGGACAGACAAGTTTTTTTTGCTTAATCCATTCCACTATGTCCCGACATGTGGCGTTATCCACTGTCTATCCGTCAGTGACCAGCCTTCATCTTCCGAGGCATTATCTTCTTCATATAAAGTTTGCAGTATTCTACTGTCTACCATCACACTGAACTATCCTCCCCCGATCTAATTAAACATTATTCTCTGTCTACCAATATAAACCTCCTATTGATCCAATGTCACCTATTTCCTGTCTACCGCCCCACTCTTCACTGGGACAACTTTCACAAAATTTGGCAACTCTCTCTAGTTTGTTACGCTATTCTGAAACTGAGATTTCATTGATGTTTCTTTGTAGAGAGAAAGTCTGATATACCAAGGACAGGCGTAGAAAGAACTAGCAAATAGGGCACCACAACACAGTAACAGAGATGACTTACAAAATCATTTCTGAAACTGCTTTTCTGATAAGTTTTTACCATTGAGATGTTCTTCAGGGAGTTGTGCAGTATATGTGTGTGTGTGTTGTAATTATCTAAGAGACAGCAATGGTAACTAGTCAAATGAATTACTTTTTTCCTTTTCATGTTTTATGAATGTGTGTATAATGAAGTCTCACTTCTTTGTTCTGTACATAGGCTGAGAGGTTTCCAATACCATAACTCATGGTAATCCTTAACCTACTTGGTTTTCCCTGGAACACGATCCGGCAATCAGTTTACAACCAGGTCCCAAATTACCGCTGGGTGAAGAGGGGTGAACAGTATTGGAGCGATATTCAGTGGAATCTCCCACTGATAAAGTGATAAAGATTAAGGCACCCAAAAGGTGGCACGGGTATGAATAGCCCGTAATTTACCCTGTACTGGGCTCGAACCCGGATGATATAGCTGGTGAGGTGTGGGGGATAGCGTGCCACCACTGAGCTGCAACCCATTATCCAAACAATAGTTCGTTAATCCAGCCACCTCTTTCTTGTTTATGATTAAAAACACACTGAATACGAAACTCAACTAATTACATTCAACATTTTTTTTCAAACATTGCTTCGCCTTCTTTCTTTTTTGATCGTACACGCTTCATCTGCATGCGGCAAATGCAAATAATTGTCAACAGAAAATATGTATCTCACCAAACCTGAGCCTAACTATGCACAAATTCTCATATATAATCAAATTAACTTCTCAGAAAAAGTCCTATTTTGGACACACATTATGTTAAAATTGATAAATGCGGCTATGAGGTCGGCCGCTGCTTGGACGAGCATTATCTGAGGAGAGAGTTGCTATACTGCGTATTGATCTTTCACAGCAATAAAAATATTAATTTCAAGGGTCTTAAGAAAATTAAAGAAGGTAGCGAATGAGCTTAATACTGCTTCATCAGGTTCTTTGTGGTAAAAATGTGTTGCATTTATATTTTAGAAAGGTAATTTTCCGCTATTCACGAACTGAATGAGAGATCTTGGAAGTAGCACTTTAAAGTGTGTCTGACAACTTTTGTCACCGAAGATTACTTCGTGGATCGTGATGATGAGTTATTGGTAAGCCAAGAGGTAATTCAGTGGTAAACAAGAGGAACCAGAAGCCTCACTGGACAATGTTCAGCAGGAAGATTGGAGGACTTGGTCGAAAATGTGATCGCTCATGAAGTGAAGACTGTCGTCGTTGGGGAAGAATCCTCCTGAGCGGGCCAAACTATGTCGTGCTCCTGATGCTGTCAAGTGATAAAGGCTCTCACTAAACCAGTAGATCGTGGTGCTTAGCAGAAGGTATACGTCGCGTACTGTGGTAACACCAGATGATATACCTGTTAGAGGGTAGGTCACCACAACTGCTGTCCTTAGCAGTCTGCTCAAGAGGTTATCAAGCACCTTACTCACAGACTGACTATAGTCCGCCACAGAACAAGTATGTTTCGAAAGCCCTCATACTTCGACGAGGACTCCGAAGATCCTGGAGTGAGTGTGGAGAGTTCGAACCCAGCTTTGTACAGCGTCCTCAGTGTCACTGGCCTTTTGTTAGTGAAGGAGCAGCCATCAGGAGGGTACCAGGTAGCTCGGAAGAGATTATTTCCCTTGGTCATCCTGATGGGCATTGTAGCTTGGACCACCACCGAAGCCATTATCATTGCATGGAAGAGTTCCTACGATTCAGTGATTACGGCCACCTCTATCATTGTGGGCGGGGGGTATGTCCTCGCTAACCTGATGTTGATAGTGGGGAAAAGGAACGCAACATGTCGCTTTTTCTCAGCTCTCGACAAGACTTCGAAACCCACGAAGATCTGGAAAACAATCGTGTCCGCTCTAGTCTACTGCGTCTACTGCACCGGGTATTGGCAGGGGGACAGGTGGCTGTACCAGCTTGACAATAACACACCATACCGTCCATCGATGTTAATTTTTTCGTGTGTAATCTCAGGTGTATGTGCAATTCTGGACCTCCACGCGGCATCTCTTATTGGCGCCATAACCCAAGCCTATTCAAGTGCAATCAGAGACCTTCGATGCGGCCATTTTAGCCAGGAAGAGCAATGGGATCTGAGGGTCCTACGGGTTCGAGGATACCGTAACCGAAGGATTCGGGACTCCGGACGCCACCACCACCTCCAGGATGCGAAGACTGTGAACGATAAGCATGACAGGTCGGTCCGAGATATGACCATGGGAAATCAGGTAAATTCCGTTTATTCGGTTTTTATATTGTCATTGTAAATATTATTATCATTCTTGGTTTTACTGCTGCTATTATTTTTATTATTATTATTATTATTATTATTATTATTATTATTATTTATTATGATAAAAGCCCATTGTTGTTGAAATCATACTCAGACTTTGATAAAGCACTCAAGAGAGTGCGGAAGACTTGGTGTATCTCAAATCTTTACATAGAATACATAAAATACACAAGTGTGAGTTTTAATCCCATGTTATAATGTCTGTGAGAAGAAATTACCATCACTTAATATTATTATTATTATTATTATTACTTTGTTTATATTACTTATTAGTTTGGTTGTTGCAAAAAAAAAAACTGTTTTTTCTGTTCGATAATATGTAGCTGTTTGTGTCTGCAGAATCGAGCTATTAGCTCCTGGTCCCCGCCTTTCTAACCAATCTATTTGTCCTTTATTATATCTACTACATATATTTCTCTCTAACACACACACACACACATTCTTTTCGAACCAGCCCGTAGCAGCTGTCTAACTCCCAGGAACCTATTTATTGCTAGGTGAACAGGTACATCAGGGTGAAAGAAACTCAGCAAAATTGCTAGGTGAACAGGTACATCAGGGTGATAGAAACTCAGCACAATTGTGTGTGTACAAACAATTGAAGCTCAGCACAAACTCCGCGTGTGTCACTGTTGACATGACTTTCCTTATACTAACAAGATCAGTGTGTTTACCCCCCTACAGCCCATGTTAATGTTCCCCCGTACATCATCCTGTGATGCATGGGAGAAGGGTGGCCAAAGTTCCCATGGTAATATTGTGTATCATCCCACAGTGGATGGGATTAGGGTGGGCCAACCCACGTCCCATTAACCCGGGGGAGGTGATAGCCAGTGCCGAACACCTCACTTATCTCCTTGAACTCTTCAACCAGGTGAGGCCTTGATAGCGGCTTGATCATTGGTAGATATTGAGATATGTTGTTAGGGATACGCTATAATATATATGTATATATATGTTATCTCTCTCTCTCTCTCTCTCTCTCTCTCTCTCTCTCTCTCTCTCTCTCTCTCTCTCTCTCTCTCTCTCTCTCTCTCTCTCTCTCTCTCTCTCTCTCTCTCTCTCTCTCTCTCTCTCTCTCTCTCTCTCTCTCTCTCTCTCTCTCTATCACTTCAGACTACATGACAATTACTCAGGATTGCTATAGTAGTCTATATATACACATATATATATATATATATATATATATATATATATATATATATATATATATATATATATATATATATATATATATATATATATATATATATATTGTATACGACGTTCCACGTGTATTTAGACTGGCGAGAATGCTTAGCGTCAGACTATACGACGCTCGAAGGTTTGTATAGCTGCCACGTGTGTATTGTTGTATACAGCTACCTGCCACCCCAATTGTTAAAATTTAGACTATTTAGAGCTCTATTGAACAGGATTAGTTACAGATAAATGTACACAGTAAATGGTTTTCGTGGGCTGAGTGGTGCATGTAATCAGCCTGTTCGCTACTTAGCATAGCGTACAAATTTCGGTGCTTCTAGTGAGACTAAAAGTGTCGTAATACTGACGCTATATGGGACTAATAGGCAGGTCAGACGGGCAGCTTAGTTTCGTGTACTACTGGCTATGAGGAAAGCTGCTTTATATTTTATGTTTAACTAATTTTACAAACAGTAGTGAACCACTTTGACCGTGTTGATGCGTTGTGCATGCTTGCAGGCCTTCTCCATGCGCTGTGTTTGCTTGCAGGCCTTCTCCATGCGCTGTGTTTGCTTGCAGGCCTTCTCCATGCGCTGTGTTTGCTTGCAGGCCTTCTCCATGCGCTGTGTTTGCTTGCAGGCCTTCTCCATGCGCTGTGTTTGCTTGCAGGCCTTCTCCATGCGCTGTGTTTGCTTGCAGGCCTTCTCCATGCGCTGTGCTTGCTTGCAGATCTTCTCCATGCGATGTGCTTGCTTGCAGGCTTTCTTCATGCGCTGTGCTTGCTTGCAGGCCTTCTCCATGCGTCTGCTGGTGCGTTGTGCGGTGACCTGGGTGATGAGTCTGAGTCTGATGTATTACTTCACCACGCATACTGGCGACGCAGTCGTCTCTCTCGTCATTTTCTGCTTCATCGTCGATGAGCTCCTCCGCTTCTACTGGATGTGCTACCGAGCCGACCTCCTCCAGCAGGCGGTGAGTGGGAACAAGCGGCGTGCCACAAGGACTACACAAGCTCCCCATCTCACGTTGATACACAAGAGAAGATAAGTTAAAAAAAAGGACTTCACTCCCATTTTCTATGTCCTAATTTTAAAAAAATTCGAATAGTATTTTTACGGATAGACTGATTGGAATATCATAATGGTATTTTTACTAATATTATTGCTGAGGGAACTCACTTTCAGTCGCAACCTGTCCCAGTCGATGAGAAAATCTTTTCGAGCAAGACGAGGATCGAACCAGCGTCCTGGGTAACCATAGATGCACACCTTAACCCACGGATCGTGATAAAATCACACTGTATTAAAATAGTAATGGTTTCCTCCCTCCCTCAGCACCTCGCCCTGGAGGACACCGTCTGGGAGCTCTACCAGCGACTGGACACATCCCAGCGCCCTCTACTGGCAGCCCTGGCTTCCCGCCTCAACTCCCGCCGGGCCGTCGTCAGCGTCGGGGGCTTAGGAGTGCTGGGGCGACGTCTTCTTCTCTCCTTCGTCAACCTCTCCTGCACCTACACCGCCATCCTCTACCAGTACCGCCCCAATATACTCGACGTACCTGATAATACCACTCTTACTAGCCTCTAGATTGAGGCACAGTGGGCTGCGTCCTCGCCTCACAGCCGAGGTGTCCCAGGTTCAATCCTCCGGTAGGATAGAAACGATTGAGTCCGGTTTCTTTCTCGTAATGGCTAATGGTACCCGGGAGCTAAGCAATTGTTGTGGGGTTGTATTCTATGGCAGGTCAGGAGTTGGCCTGGCGAAGAGCTCGATATGTCTAAATACAGGCTTCCTGTCCTCTGCTATGAGAACTGTTAGATTTTATCAGCACCTGTCTTCATACTGAAGGGTTGATGAGGGATTATAAATAAATATAATACTGCTGCAAATGTATATCAATTAAAAATAATTAAGGAAATTAATGGTTTAATTGCTGAATATGATGACAGACACCAACGATTTCAATATATAGGCAATACAACAACATCGGTTTCAAGGTCCTCACCAATTCACAAACAGGAAGTTCCCATCAGAGAACACATAATATCTACACAACCCGATAATCTCCAGAGATATCCTGACAAATCCCTCTGAAATAATCGACTTCGACAGTGGAAGATTAGACATTAGCAAAGCAATGCATATCAAACCAACTATCAACGGCCAGCTAACACTTAACATAAATTCCTCTATCTTTGGGGCTAGGAACATGCAGGATATATATATATATATATATATATATATATATATATATATATATATATATATATATATATATATATATATATATATATATATATATATATATATATATATTGTCCAGTCACCATGAGAACATAGGAAGTGTGGAGGCTGTAGTAGGCCTATTAGCCCACTACAGCCTCCTTACTTCACTTCACTCGGGGTATATATTCAATTGATCCAGCTAAACTGTATTCACCTCTGCTCTGCCTTTGAAAATGTTGACTGGATCAATGAAATGCGGACTTGTAGCCGGACTTAGTGTTCAGCCACAAAGAAACTGTAAAAGAAACTTTGGAGAGTTAACTTTTCAGTTTTCTTCTCAAGTGAAGACCATAATAAATATGGAGAAGATTCGTGCTAGAATCATTAATATCACCCTTTCTGTCATATTCTGTAACATATGTCTAAAAGAAAGACTGCTACCAAAGTATACTACTACTATATTAATGTTTTGTATATATATATATATATATATATATATATATATATATATATATATATATATATATATATATATATATATATATATATATATATATATATATATATATGTATATATATATATATTGTTCTCTTCCCACCGCAGCTGTGCACCAACGCCCATTTTGTCTGTCGAATACATCACTGCACCCTGTTCATCTTGGCAATTATACCAGAGCATGCGTCACCACAGCATGTTATCTTCCATACACACATATGCACTCTATCATCTCTCAATTACCCCCTTCCTGTATATTTGTATCTCTGCACACGCATGAGCTAGAAACAGTATGCTCCCCTTAGGACAAATATTTCCTATAGTGCTCAGGTGACATCTGCAGCGGCCCCATCAGGTGTTTAACCTTCCCCGGGGCATCGCACCTGTACGTGCTGTGGGTGTTTGTGTATCCGCTACAGGTGTTGAGTGATGCTGGCAAGGTATTAATTTTCCTCCGCCACGTCAGCCTGGGTTGTTGCTACGGGCGACATGACTTGGTGTAGATGAGGGCGGGGCATGATAGTCTAAGGTGCCTCTGTTGGTCTCGCTATTTACAGCAGATTTTGTGGTGACTTTGGTTCTGTAATAGTTGAGGTCAGAGGTCAATCAAATCGGGCCCACCTTGTGCATATTGAAGTCATGTAAAGATATACCAGCGTAAAATATTTGTCAGACTTTTGTGGCATACAATTAACATACAACATGGCATACAAGATGATTCAAAGTTTTGTAGTGGGATGAGAGGCTTAGCTAGATAAGGAGGGTTCTTCTAAGGTTTCTTTCTAGGCAGAATTCATTCTCACTCAGTTTGATTAGCTTATAGATACCATACACAGAGATCACAGTGTGTTATGGCTCTTCACTTTTCATTAGCACCAAGAAAAAGCTGATGGCAGTTTTATATTCAGTTATGTTCATGTAATGAAGCAGGTGCTTACCTGTACCTGTGGTTTACCCGTAGTCGGTTCCGAGAGTTCTAGTCCCCAAGCCCTGAAGACTGTATATAGGTTGAAAACTACCGATGCTTCTCCTTACTCAGCTATACAGGCATCCCCAACATGAGTAATTAACTCGTATTATAACTATCAAGACTCACCCACAAACTTTAACCTGAGAAAATCTTTAACGAAAGAACCTCCTATTGTGTGCCGCACATCTCCCGGTTCCACTCTCCTCCCTCTCATGTTGCTCTTCTACACTTTTTGAGGCCATGGAATGCCTCGAACTCGCGACCTGGTGATCCCCCAGACGCCTGCCTTAACTGACTCGGCCACGGTCGTATCAAAGTTGATCAACCCCGACATCTACTGAGCTCTCTGGGAGGCTCTGGAGGCCCCAAACCGGGGCCCCCAACCAGGATTTTACAGCCAACCCGACCACACTGGGACCTACAGTAATGGCGTTCACACTCTTACGCCAACAGTCAAATCGCATTGAAATCGCAATATTATTGAGATGAAGTGTATACAAGTTAGCTGGAGCAAGTGAAGACACAACCAAGGATGAGGAGGTGTGGCATGGGCCTACAGATCTCACACCCCATGCTTTACTTTACCTATGATTTTTCCAGTAATAATTCCACGGTAATTACACGCCATATTTCATAACCGACTCTAATTAAGACTGAAAATGGGGTCTAGGGGTGTTTATAATTGTTAATATTTCTTAAGGCCTTTAACTTAGGCCTACTCCGACCAGTCAATAACGGTCTCGTACCAGACCATTTCCCGTGAATTTGGGTGAGACTAGCCCCTAACCTCTAACCTCCATCTCTAGACAGAAAGAAAGACAGACATTCTCTCTTAGAGCTACAGGTAAGTAGCTCTAAGAAATGGAAAGTACATCTTCATTATTTTATATATATATATATATATATATATATATATATATATATATATATATATATATATATATATATATATATATATATATATGTCGTACCTAGTAGCCAGAACGCACTTCTCAGCTTACTATGCAAGGCCAAATTTGCCTAATAAGTCAAGTTCTCCTGAATTATTATATTTTCTCTAATTTTTTCTTATGAAATGATAAAGCTACCCATTTCATTATGTATGAGGTCATTTTTTTTTATTGGAGTTAAAATTAACGTAGATATATGACCAAACCTAACCAACCCTACCTAACCTAACCTAACCTATCTTTATAGGTTAGGTTAGGTTAGGTACCCGAAAAAGTTAGGTTAGGTTAGGTTAGGTAGGTTAGGTAGTCGAAAAACAATTAATTCATGAAAACTTGGCTTATTAGGCAAATCGGGCCTTGCATATTAGGCTGAGAAGTGCGTTCTGGCTACTAGGTACGACATATATATATATATATATATATATATATATATATATATATATATATATATATATATATATATATATATATATGTCGTACCTAATAGCCAGAACGCACTTCTCAGCCTACTATTCAAGGCCCGATTTGCCTAATAAGCCAAGTTTTCATGATTTAATGTTTTTTCGTCTACCTAACCTACCTAACCTAACCTAACCTAGCTTTTTTTGGCTACCTAACCTAACCTTACCTATAAATATAGGTTAGGTTAGGTTAGGTAGGGTTGGTTAGGTTCGGTCATATATCTACGTTAATTTTAACTCCAATAAAAAAAATTGACCTCATACATAGAGAAAAGGGTTGCTTTATCATTTCATAAGAAAAAAATTATAGAAAATATATTAATTCAGGAAAACTTGGCTTATTAGGCAAATCGGGCCTTGAATAGTAGGCTGAGAAGTGAGTTCTGGCTACTAGGTACGACATATATATATATATATATATATATATATATATATATATATATATATATATATATATATATATATGACAATGTCAGACCACGAAGGAAAATGAAACAGGAAATTTCCTTAAGTACTTTCGTATATTAAATACATCTTCAGAAGGTCATTTTACAGATCGAGTGATGGGTATAAATAGGCAGGAGAGAGTGGTGAAGTAAGGTGAGGTACAATACTTGGACAACGCAGAAGGCCCATTGGCCCATCAGATGCACCCAATTGGACCATCTGATGTAGCCCAATGGCCCATCTGATACAGCAGACATACAAGCATAATACATAGGTAATTATAACATAAAGAGGTAAATATATACAATAAATTAGTGAGACAAATGTTTTTCAATGATTCTACTTAAATCGCCCTTTAGCTGATCTATTAGAAATGGATCTAAGTTATATAGACCACTGCTAATATTCAAATTACTTTCTTTGGTGATCTGTATCAAAGCGGATTCAATTATGTTTCTGTTATAGGTGCTTTTACAATTTGTTATTGAAGACGCACTCTCCCAATCAATTTGGTGAGCTTTTTCTGACAAATGCACAAACAAAGCATTAGATAATTGGCCATGTCTTACAGAGTATTTATGTTGCGATATTCTACATTTTAAATCTTTAGATGTTTGCCCGACATAGAACTTATTACATTCCTTACAAGGTAAGGAAAACATCTAAAGATTTAAAATGTAGAATATCGCAACATAAATACTCTGTAAGACATGGCCAATTATCTAATGCTTTGTTTGTGCATTTGTCAGAAAAAGCTCACCAAATTGATTGGGAGAGTGCGTCTTCAATAACAAATTGTAAAAGCACCTATAACAGAAACATAATTGAATCCGCTTTGATACAGATCACCAAAGAAAGTAATTTGAATATTAGCAGTGGTCTATATAACTTAGATCCATTTCTAATAGATCAGCTAAAGGGCGATTTAAGTAGAATCATTGAAAAACATTTGTCTCACTAATTTATTGTATATATTTACCTCTTTATGTTATAATTACCTATGTATTATGCTTGTATGTCTGCTGTATCAGATGGGC